CCCCAAAACCCCAAAACCCCATGAGTGAATTTCATTATGTGAATTAAGAATTTAGATTATAAATTTCATCAATGGAATTAAAATCGTATATTGTGATCAAGCAGGTCGACAAAAAGCATCAGCTCAAAGATGACTTTGTGGTTGTCGGACAAGACAAAAAGTCCATTAAGATTCATGACCCATATGGTGGGGCTTCAGGACTGCAGAGAATTCCAGAATAAAAATCAGGCGCAGAGTTTAGCTTCAGAGTTGATAAGGTACTTGAGGGAGGCTCTCATAAATCACCTGTAAGTTAACAATTTTTGAAAGCTTATCGTTACAATTTAAATGCTATTTTTAGACTTAAATTTTCAGAGACTCTTGCGATGAAATAGTCAACAATGTTATCAATAACATGAAAAATGGAATGATAATCTCATATGGGCAATCAAAATCAGGAAAGTCAACTAATTTCTTTGGAAACTACAAGTCAATGCAAATTGGTTTACTGTAAAACACTGTCAATAGGTTCTTTGAATTGCAAACACCTTAGTCTAACCTATCGAAACAGACAGGAGCTTAGGCTCTTTATCTTTCAATATTCGACATCAACCTTGAGACTGTGAGAGACTTTGGAACGTATTTCTTCCACTCTGCTTAGGCTGCTGCAGCTCATCACAACGCTAGAGAATTTAACTTTTCTAATGTTACTCATAGCAGTCTTGAAAAGTAAAGTCCAGAGCTGCTGGATAATTCCAACGAAGCAATTTAAGTCAGAGGATTAAGTAAAATTGAGATAAAGTCTGGTGATTAGTTCAGTAAATTGATGATTGACGAAGAGGAATTCAGAACTCAATTAGACACTAGACACAAAATTAACAATAAGAGATACCATCAGATTTATGTACTGCATTTGAAACATAGGATGTCAGCTCAAATGTCCTATCTTTATTTCGTTAAGATTGCAGGATCAGAAAAAATACTTAAAGGCCAACAAGTAGAACAGCAAAGAATTCAAGAGTAGATCATTGCTAACAATACACTATTTGCATTATCTAAGTATCTGGGTGGATTAACAAAAAAGGATAATAACGCTTCATATCATGAAAGCAAATTGACAAAGGCTCTTCATGGAGTGCTTTAAAATGATGAGAAGGAGTGTCAAGTTGTGTTTCTAGGCCATATTTACCCAGTTGAGCAGAATTATGAAGAGACTTTACTAACACTTTAATACATGGACAGACTCAAGGGTCTTGATTAAGCTTACTAAAAGGTCATTTTTGATGGTCCAATGCCAGAATAGGTACAAGCATAGGAAAGACTAATGGAGAGAATTTTAGATGAGAATGCAGATTTGAAGCGAAAGTACGAGTAGCAAGTTCAAGAGGAAAAAGATAAATTTGATGAGATTAAGCGCAGACTTGGACTTGAGTATACAGTGAATTAGCTTCTCAGAGCGAAAGCAAATACTAAAGAACATTCTTATTTAATACTGCATTAAGAAGCAGATGACAGAAGTTAAACTTTATCTAAAATAAATCAGGACTTGAACAAAAAGCTTAAAAATATGAGCAAAAAGCAAGAGGAGTCTGAATATTAGCTTAAGTTTTTCTAGTAAAAATGTGAAGATTAGATCTCGCTATTAGAGTCAAAGTACGATGATTTACTTAAGAAGCATAATGAAACTCGCTATAAAATAAAGTCTAAGGTCCGCGAGGAGATGAAAGATATTAATGAAGAGATATCAAAGATGATTCATCACGGATAGATCTTGATTGAAGAGAAAGCGCACTTGATACATGGGCTTAAAGAAGAACTCAAGAAAAATAGCGAGCATCACAATAAGATTTCAGAGATGAAGGATATGGGCAAAAGAGAAGCAGAACTAATGTATAAGTAGCAGTTAAATGACAAGTAAATTGATTACAAAAAGACTATGAAAAATATAAACGAGCAGTATGATCATTTAATTAGAACTAAAGACGAGGAACTTTAGAAGTTCCTAAGTGATGCTACTAAATACACAGTTGAGAAGAAGTAAGCAGTTCTCTTAATATAATATTATTGATAGAGATGAGATGAAAGAAGCAAGAAATGAATGTGTACAGCTGTTTGAAATCATTAAGAAATAAATAAATACTATTGAACTAGTTGAGTCAGGAGCTCTTAGCAATGGCATAAAATCTTATAACATCCCCAAGCATGAGAAGCAAATCTACCCTGAGCGAGATCACTTTTAATTGTAATTCCAATTAATCTCAACAAATTCCCTAGTTTGTATAAGAGTTTAGAGAAAACCAGAACTTTGATATCAGCAAGCAATAGTGTGGTGTATTAGCAATACTCCAAGTAAAAGACTCTGATGAATGAGATGAATCAGTCTAAGTTTGAGGATACATACATTAAGGAGATGGAGGAAAATCTCAAGATTCAAAAGAAGGGCTAGAAGGTCACCATTTAAAAGCAGGCTTACAATACCTATCATCAGAACGAGGAAGAGAAGACTAATTTTGAGCCTTTCAGAAAGACTCGACTATAAGATGTTGACTACCTGACTCTAGATTAATTGAAGAAATTCGCTAAGGCATTGCAGGTAGAGATTAAGAGATGCAACAATACTGAGCCTCTCAATCCTCAAGGTATCAGAGACTCGACACTGGAAAATGTCTTGAAGGAAAGAGAAAAGTGGAAGCAAATGGCTGTAAATGAAAATAAGAAACTAGCTGATTCTTAAGAGGTGCTTGATAGTTAAAAGCGCTTAATTGAAAAGCAAAACTCCAATAAGAAAAGCTTCTACTCATAAAGTAATAACCCAGGCACTGCTACTGCCAATGTTGCAAATAACAACCTCAATAATGGAAGCAATAATTTAATGAGAAGTTCAAATGGAATGAGTGCGGGAAGCATGAAAATAGGCAGCAACTTCGGCAGCAGACCATCAACCACATCCAACCTTCTTAATAGAAAATCAGGATCCAACACCCTCGCCAAAGCTCAATGATATTTTATGATGATTTAACACTATATTTCTTATGTTTAATATTCATTATTTATTTGACTTTCGGGGTTTTGGGGTTTTGGGGTTTTGATC